GTGTGTGTGTGTGTGTGTGTGTGTGTGTGTGTGTGTGTGTGTGTGTGTGTGTAAAAGAAAGAAATACTGATATACCGCACAGAATAAATGGAAAATTATTGTTGTATCCTCGAGGTAGTTGTGCTCATACAAATTGGGTAATTCGACTCTGCGTGCTCGAAACAGGGAGCACCTGGACTCGGAGGAGAAGCAAATAATCTCCCTTTAAACAAAAAGTGCATAGACACACATGCACAGCAAGCACACACGATCCATTCAACCATTATAAAACCTAACTGGTTTGTCATGGCCTTTCCTCCAAGGGAGAGCAGCCATACCCACAGAAGAGGGAACTATTGTCTATATTGTTGGAGCCCATCTGGTAGTAAGGAAAAGACAGGCTGACAGTTCTGTCCTCATTTGGCTTGGCTAGTTCCATTGAGAGCAGTATATCGTATATCAGAGAGCTGGGAAGTGTACAAAACACACATTGCTGCTATCTTATATTATATTCAGCTGTCTGTTATATAAAGTATCAATCGGCTTTAACAGAGCATTTTTGCTGAGATATTTCCTCACTGTTTTGCATTGTTCTAGTCTGAAATTGTATTTCAGTTTACCTCAAGAGGAAACATACCACACTCACACACGCATACGTCCATAGTAGAGTATAAAAATAAGACTGGAACCAAAAGAGTAGCAGCTTTTATTTGCGAGAGTGTACTAAACAGCAAATGAGTCAGCTGAGTCATGTAGCCAAAAACATGAAAATCTGTCAAGATGCCCATGCTACACGAGCTGATGGAAACAAAAGGTTTCCTTTAGCTAAATATAGAGCTGTTGGACTCATTTGGAAAAATTACACAATCCCAGATCAGTGCTTTTATACTGGTTTTAGGTTAGATGAAGGGTTTTTGCTGTATAACTTACCTGAATTGCTGTGATTAAGATGTTAAAGACGAATATGGCTTGGGGCATGTTACATTTTTCTTAACAGATGGTTTTAGAGGCACTCAGGTCACAACAGACCTATTTCAGTGTAATGTAGCACACCATCAAATTTCTTCTCCAACGTAGAGTCTGTGTTATAAAATATGACTACAGAGTCCTTTAAGGGTATTTCTATTTTATGGGCTAAGAAAAAAGACAGAGGGCATGTGGGTCTAATTCTCTATCCATTTTCCCTCTTTTGATTTTATTTGCTTTTATTGTGTTCTCTTCTTTCTCCTCTGCTTTTGCACTCGTCCTACAGATTTGCTCACTGATTACTGTGGGTACATAAAGGAAAAATTGAGGCTCAGTGTAAGTGTGACAGCAAAAGAAATAGAAAGGAAAGAAGTGTTTAAAAGCTATGAAATACACACTGGCTGTACATGCAATATATAACCTGTGTGACTTTTCTTCTTCAGAACATACTTATGATGCAGGTATAGAAAAATGAAAAAAACAAAGGTACAGAAGATATGTGCAGGGCAATGAAATGGAAATGAATAGAGTGATATCGAGAGCTGCATGAGTAATGAGTCAAATTATGATTTGGGCGTCGTACAGAGCTGCTGCAGGTATGATGGATTCCTCTTCCTTCTGCGCCTGTGAAGGACGTAGCTCTCCTACTCTCAGTAAGCTCTGTGTGTGCTGCACCTCCACACATACAAGTGTTTGCTATTGTGTCTGTGTTCATGGGAGTGCGGCTTGGTTGTAAAAGCTGTTTACTGTGGGTAATGGTATGTTAAATGTGAGTGTCCCCAGGGTTAACTGCCAAACTGTAGTAAAACTTAACCATAGAAAGAGTCTGCCTGTGTGAGCCAGCCTTTTTACTGTTAGCCACCAGGTGGCTGAAGTGCTGACCAGGAAAAGAAAAAACATTTCTAATTTATGTACATAAGAATGTGCATTTCATTTGCCTTTTTCTCTTTTGAGATTGGGAGAAAATTCACATTGGAAACATGTGGAACCCACAGATTTCTATCAAATGTACATTTTTCTTATTTTATTTATGTCATCGACAACACTGCAACATTTAATAGATGCTTTATAACACTCACACACACAACGAGATGGGTCCTTATATGTTCTTGCAGCTACATTACATTTACATTTTATCAAATGTAAATGTAGTAGTTAAATGTGTCAGTATTTTCCCATATGAAACAATATTTCATTTACAAGGGCTAAATCAAAATTTTAAGCTGATAACACTGAAATATCTATTTTATGGCTACTTTCTGAATTAGTGGAGAAATCTATCCTGACGTTTCACTTCTGTTCCTTGCAGGACGGGCATTGCTGCGTTTAAATGGGGAGAAGTTGGAGAGGATGGGCATTGTCCAGGAGACACTAAGGCAGGAGGTCCTCCAACAGGTCCTCCAGCTGCAGGTCAGAGAAGAGGTCCGCAACCTGCAGCTCCTTAGTAGAAGTAAGATCTCAAGATTTTGTGAGCGAATAACCACGCTGCTGTGCACTTCTGTTTTGTGCCTGTAATTGTGTGCTGGTGTATTGATGTGAGAGAGGGAACAATAACAAGAGACAGGGGAAGAGCAGTTGGGCTTGGTTAAATTGGGAGGAGGCAGTGTGAGACCATTGATGCCTGCTGTGACATACGTGGAGTTGGGCATTCAAGTGCAATTGTTTGTGGCTGTGTGGTTTTATTGAAGGGAGCCCTTGATTTGCTGCACTGCCTCTGAATGGTGACTTCGGTAAATTCTTTTATTTTCCAGCCATCAATAAACTTGCTCAGGCAGTCACTGCTGACCTGGATTCAGACGTTGATGTGGTTTGTGTCTTAAAAGGAGTGTTTTTCTTTTTATCTGCTGCAGTCATTGTTAACTGTGCGCATTGATGACTGGGTGGCATCAAAGGGAAACACGTGCACAGTCTCCTTCCTCTGTATGAGCACGATTATATGGTTATTTAAAGCTTCCAACATTTTCAGTACATTTTATATTCCAACTTTAGCAGACCTCATCCAATAACCCAAATGTAATGATGATAAGTGCCATAGTTTTTCTTGGTTTAAGTTTGTATTCAAAGCCAAATGCGGGGCACCTTCACTCAGTTTAAACACTATAATCTTCAAGATCATGACCTATATCAAGAAGCAGCAACATCCTGGCTGAGCACATACCTTGAATAAAAGGGATTCTGCAACATTTAAGGGGAATTGCAAGAAGCTTACAGTCTTAGTCGTTTCTAGATTGTTCAAGCTTAAAACAAAAAAATGTCTTTCAGATTATCCTGAAGAACAAAGCTTTTTCTGCAAAATTCAAGAAAAAAAAATGCCCAGTCTCCCTTAACATGAGTGTGGCTGAGCAGTGAAGTTGTTTTTGTCATCAAGTGATCATCATCAACTGATGGCACAAGGGCTCTTATAATCACCAGTTAGATACAAACAAGTAAATGAAACACTCCTTGTACTTTTACAAGCTCTCCACTTTCAGTATCTGATCATGCATGCTGCTGAAGTTACTGTTTGGTTTTCTGCATATTCCTACTTGCTGCAGACCACTTTGGGGTTAGTGCGGGAAAAATATGTTTATGTGAATTTTAATCTTTCAGTGGCCCATACATAAAGCTGTGTACAGAGCCAGAGAGACGGAAGAGCTACACATCTGGGGTTACAGCACGAAGCCGTACAAAAATCCTGCATGGTTGTGCACTGTTGTCAAGGCATGGACAAGTTAGCCAGTTAAACATCCACAACAAACTAACAACAATAAAGATGAGGCGTAGATCATCTTCAGTTTGAGATATAGTGAAGCAGAGTTTATGTGGTTTAAAATATTATCGTGTGATAGTTTGAATTTACATTCAGTAATGAAAACACTGGAGTTGTAGTTCTCTATTAATAAAAATGAATTCTTTAGAGCTTAGAAGCAAAGGTTGTGCCTGAAAGAGCACTAATGTAGATATATTCGGGGTGAGAGGCTGGGGTTGCAGAAAATGTTTGAGAGTTGCTGAATTAAGAATTGTAATTGGTATAAAACCCCTACAGTAATTAATGAATAAGAAGAAACAGCACACAGGACTGAATTGGGTGACTACTAAAGACTAAATTCTAATTTGTTTCAGTAAAAGGTGCTGCATATGTGATTCAAAACACTATGAAACAAACAGCTCTTTCTTTGAAGTGGTAATTATACAAAATCAGTCTCAGGTTAGCACTCAGTACTGTTTGATACGGATGGACCACTCCCTCTCATCTTTTTGCCTCATTCACTTCACTTACAGGTATAGAATGTAAAAGTGCATTTGATGGCATGCGTGCCAACCAAGCATGCTGTATTAAATTAAGCTGAATTAAACTGAGACATGTGATGCAACTTACTGGTAGGCAGAATTACTTTTGGAAACTTCTATTAACTGGAAAATGCATTGCAATGCAAATGTAATTTCCCAGTTCAGCAGCCTCTGACTTTAAGCTATAAGGCCAAGCTAATTTGGTGCCCTCATAAAACACCAGAGTTTCACAGGGTTGCAGGGTATTCAAAGGTGATAAAGGCAGGTCGAGGTGTGAACCCTTGGAAGAAGCGATAATGGGGATGTTTCAGTGGCTGAAATGAAATTAGAAGTGTTATGAGGTGGTGTGATGTGATGAGGTGCTGATCTCAGGAAAAGGTGAAGGTCTGGACTGAAACTGGTTTTGTGTAAGATCAGTCTTGTCATTTTCTAAAAAACAAGTTAATGTTGCAGTCAACTTAATGTAACCAGTGTCAAAGTCATCCACAATTTTATTGTCAGAACTTCTCAGAAGTAGAGGAGAAAGAGGCACAGCTGTTGCCTAAAGTCAAACGTCGCAGTTTATTGTCAGTGCCTCAGCCAACTTGTATCTTAACCATTCCAGTAACATGGCTGTAGAAATAAGACACCAATGGCTGTCATTTAACTGACCATTTTCATCCAAACCACTGATCCCACTGCTTTTGTATGATTTTGGCGTGTCTGTAGCTCAGGTGGTAGAGCACGTCACCTACAAATCAGAAGACTGGTCATTCGATCGCGGGCTGCTCCAGTCTGCATGCCAAAAATCCTTGGGCAAGACACTAACCAGGTTGCTCTCCAATGCATCCATCAGAGTGTGAATGTTAGACACAAAGCACAAAGAGCTTGTATGAATGAGTGTGACTAGGTGAATGAGGCATGTTGTTTAAAGCATTTTGAGTGTTCAGGTAGAGTAGAGAGGCACTACATAAGAACCAGTCCATTTACCATTTGCCATAAAGCTTCATAGAGACATTTATGGCCCGCAGATTATCCTCCTATTTCCAAAAGTCCCATAACTCTTCCTTTAGCCCTACCAAAAAAATAATATTTAAATTTTTTAGTAAAATATATTTCTGATGGAATTAAGTTTCTGTGGATCAGTCACCAGGTGGGGCTGGGTTAAGACGGAAAAAATATGCTGATGTGAGGAGAAAAGGGAATGAGGCTGACGTTTTGGCTTGTGAGTCAGATGTGGAGAAGGATGCTGATGGTGAAACGGAAGATAGAGAGAAAGAAAGAAAGAAGCAGACTCACTCAGTGGTTAATGCATATTAGGATTTAGACTTGTTCATCTTTGCTCACTCCACACACACTTCTAACTATTCTCCCTGAATGATTCGCCCAATACACTTTCAATTCTGGGGTGATTTAGCAGAGCCGTCATACCAGCTGTCAGGTCTGATTCATCTCCAGTGGATTTACCAAAAATTAAATATTGATCTCACAATAACTTTAAAAAAAGGGGGGGTGAAAATACAGATGCAGCAGTAAAGCTGAATCTGATGGGAGCTTGTCTCTGATCTGAGCCGCGATAGCACACTTTAACGCAACCCTTACAAGGCTCTCACATTATTGATGTCAGGATTGTAGAAGGCTCTGCTCAATAATTCTTAAGCTTTTACAAGCAGTGCAGACTTTCTGTGTCTCTCTCCAATTCATTAAAAAAGCTGAAACAGAGCTGTGATACAAAATTAAAGGGACAAATTATAGAAAAGAGCACCTAAACACCTGGAGGGTACGATTTAAATATGGAGAGGTGAAAAAGACAAGACTAGTGTGCCATAAAAAGGAGGACAGAGAGCTGAGACTGGAGGTGAAGTGTTTAACAGAGAAAAATACTGGAACTGAAATTAACAGATCACAGAGATAAAGAAATGAGACAGGTGAAGAGGTTAATAAAGGGACATTGATACTTGATCTGATTTCACTTTCATTCTCTGACTACGGGGCCCTACTTTTCTGCTTCTTGTTAATCTGCGTAAAGCAGGCTCAGTTGCTTAAAGCAATGTAATAACATTTCACACTCAGCCAAGAATGAGATTACTTTGGCTGCAAATTATGGTTGAAAATGCTCTTCTGCATGCGATACCCAGTGAAAAACAAAACTCTTGTCTGTGGATAAAAGGAAATTTTGTCTGTTATTTGATGTCCATAAAAATTGTGGAAAGATTTTTTTAAGATGTTCCCCATTTGGAAATTTTGATTATTAAATGAAAACATTTCATGATATTTCCATGCCCTGAGAAAATAGCAAAATAAAACTGGAGGTGCAGAAATGCAAAAATAGACTAAAACACTAGATGGGATGGTTGGAGGGGGTTGTTTTGGCCTCCACTGCACCAGCTGCGAATGTTCATTTTTAAGATGTCTTTCACAAGTCACCCAACGTCATGAAAGCCCGTGACTAAACTGCTACTCTGCCCTTTAAAGGTTGGCTGTGGTGACTTCGATGGTTAGGTATTTTTGGTTTCTGTAATAGCAGCCCTTCTTGTGAGCCTCGGAAGAACACATAATCTCTTAAAGTCCTCACAAGCCTTTTCTTTCCTCCCTAAACTCCTGATATTCACTTCTAAAGACTTTGCTATATTTTTCTCATTGGCTTCTTTTTTCTTTCCTTCTACCATATAAAACATGAATGGAAACAAAATAAATAAAACTGATGTTTTAGAAAATACACAGTTCATTTTCAGTCATTGCTGCAGATCCATGTAATGTACTCTGATTCAAACAGACCTTTTCTTGTCTTACTTACTGACCACTCAAAGCACTTTACAACTCACCTGCCTCACAGCCGATTAACCTATAATTCGGGTCTTTTGATTCTAGGCTGAAGGCGGTGTACCTTGAAGAAATCCATCCTAATCAGAGAGAAAGCAAGCAAAGTCCACAAAGAAAGGCCCAAGCAGGGCAGGAGATTCAAACTAGGAACCTTAAGCAGCCTATCACTGTGCTTTAAAAATACATAACTTGTTTGGGACACTAAAAAGCCCAAGGTAAACTCTTAAGGCACACATATATATTCATGTTTGAGAAAAAAAGAACCCTACATCAATTGGCATGTTTTCAGTTATTCTTTTGACTGTATTGCTATATATGGGCATTTTTGATAACATGACATGAAATTTTTTGCTTTGCAATAGCTCATCTTGCCTCCTTCACCTAATAAGATGTGTTCGTGCAGTCCAAGAGTCTTGTTGCTTCTGGTTCCCCTCCAGTGCTCTTTTGAAATTGGCCAAGTTTCTCTCAGAGGGGACGTTTGGTTTCCAAGTTCCTGCTTGCCTTATTTGGCACTATGTTCATATTAGACGACTTCTCCTGACAGATGACACGCTGAGGCTGAGGGCTGCTGACATCCGCGGTCTAGCAGAAGTCATAAGAACAGGGGATTTTAAGATCATTCCTGATAGCTTCTTCTCCCTGTGTTCAGGGGGTCTGCAGTCACATTGTTGGTAGATGTGTTTGGTTCATGCAAGAAAATGATTCATGTTCCCCTATCTGAAATCTTGTTACGCTCTTTGCTAAACCAGGGTTTAATGTGTTACGCTATGATAATTCCTACCCTCCAGAAACAACATGAAATGACTTAGTTCAGTTTCACAGAAACCTCTTAAAAACAGGGAATAGAATTTGCATCTGTATTGGAAAAAGGGGGCCTACAGCTATCAGATATTGGATATGTTTTATTTAGTTTTACGGCATGTAAATAATAGTCAAGTAATTGTCAGTGATGAGTAATGATCAGGCAAATGAACGATAAGGGAATTGATAGTAATTTTTTGCATATAAAATACAATCATCTATCTAACCCATCCAACCATAGAGAGGCCAATTCCAGTGAGATAAATGTGTTCTGATAGTCAGGGTCCATTTCATGGTTAAAAACAAAGTCCAGCTCACAATGATGTGACTCTTGGAGCATAACCCACCTCACTCCTTTACATATTGTTTAATATTAGACTGAAAAACTTTTGGAATTCACTATTATAAACTTTTCATCCACTTTTTAAGTCTGCAGACAGTAAGCGTTTGAAATGCAAAACATTTGAAAGAATGTAGATTTACATTCCAGCATCAAAGCTAAATGCAAATTTATACATGAGCACATCCATTCTGGCAGTACTATGCAGCATACAATACTGCTCTTCATGTATACAACCCTGCTACTGTTGGGAAAGGTGCGGTGCCTTATCTTTTTTTTGGTGTGTGGATCTTTTATTTATACTTTTACACACTCCATTTCAAGTGTTCTCGGTAGAATTGGTTGCTTTGTTTTAGTCAGCAAGTGAAAGGTAAGGTTGATGTCTTTCAAAGCCCAGAGCCACAGCTCTCTTAGGGCAACGTAAACCATGCAGAGGTTGTAACATCTTGAATGCTTTGGGAGAGAGGATTCACATCAGAGCCCAGTGGGAGATCCACCTTCCCTCTTCCTCTTAGCCACTGGTTGCGAATAATATCTTTATAAGATACTGTCAGAAACCCCCCCTTCTTCTTCAACATATCAATTTTTCCTCAGTCATTCTGTGCATTTTTATGCAGCCATCTGCCATATTTTGGACTCTTTCCAGTAATTATCTAAAACTGATGAAGTTGCAATTAACCTCTACAAAACACCTGACACCACCCACCCACCCCCAAATGCAAAAAGAAACCCTGTCAATAGCACTTTGGCTGCCTTAGGAGACTGCCTTGGTAACCTTTTTGCTCTGAATCGATTCTGTGATGTTGCCCATCCTTGCACAGCTTTACTCGGAGCTCCCTATGGTGCCCGCCAGCTGAATTAGAATATGAATGAAACTCTGAGCGTGACAGACAGAGAAGAAGGAGGAACATGTCATTTCTCCTCAGAACAAATTTTGCTCAGTTGCGTTTCACCCCCATCCTCCCTTCTTCCCACCCACCTCCCCTCCTCTGCTTCATCTAGGCTCTGACGACTCCATGGGGAGCTCATTTAAAAGAATTTCTATCACAGAAACTGTTTTCTCTTTGTCTGTGCAAGCCTCAAGTCATATCAGCGCCTCTCTGTCCTGTCTGCTTTTCCATTCTGTCCCTCTGTTGTTTCCTGGTCGAGGTTTACTACCGTTCTACGTTACATCTGTCTGTGTTGGCTGCAAATCTACAGACAGGTATTGTCTCTTCCTTGGCAATCAGAAGAGGAGGGCTTGGGGCTGAAATGCCAACAGTCTGGGAAAGAAAAGTCCGCCGTTCTGCTGACACTGGTGTCGTTTTAGGATGCAACAAACTGGCTAGTTGTCAGGGAAACCACCTGGTTGAATCTGTTGTTTGAAAAGACCCAAGAATAGATAATTAGAGTAGAAAAAAAAGGTTTGCTAATTAAATCCCTTTTTTGTAAAGATTTGTAGCTTTTTTTACCTCCAATTATTAATCATTTATTGTCTTTTTCACTACTTAGTACCATTATTCTACTTCTTAGTCAGTCTGCCAGTGCTTGTCCAAATTACTGTTTGTTTTGGAGACTGTTGCTCTGTGACTGAGTACAGCGTATTACATCAACAGAGATTAATCAAAAAAGTTTCACAGTAGTGTAAATGTGGTTGTATATTGTACTCAGAACAACAAGCATGAATTTTATTCTGTTGTTCGGTGGTTGTCTTTTTCCCCCACTTCTTTAGTTGAACCTATGAAAAATGCAAACAATAACACAGTTTGATAGCCATTAAATAGTAGTTTTACACCAACATGGTGATTCCCAAAGAGGTATTAGTCAAGTTTAGATCACACACACACACACACACACACACACACACACACACACACACACACACACACCCCAAGAAAAAAAATCTGAGGAGACTGAACCAGGCAGACTATCCACTGCAGATGATTAGTATCTTGGGAGGGGGGGGGAGAGATCTGACACAGGATTATAGAGATGTGTCTGGTCCTTCCATTTATCCATCTACAGTTCACCAAAACCACAATGAAAGGTTGCTGACAATAAGGCATCCTTACTGAGACAAATACTTGGATATTAGAAAGACTCTTAGATACGTCTGTGCTCTCAGGACAGCACAGACTTGCACTGAGCGCATACAGAACAAGCATACCAACAGAGAGAAATGTGTATTAACTATTTACTGAGGTCACAAAGGAGTATGATGTAAGAACAAACTAGTGCTGCACTTTTGCATGTGAATCCAATTTATGTATTCCCCTCTCTCTTCTCTCCCCTCTCTGCAGCCTCCTTTGGAAATTTCTCTTAGCTCATCCCTGGATCCATTTAGTGGCCCTTTCCCTCATCCCTTGTCACAATACGTCTCTAGGAGCCATGGAAGAGCTGCTGTCTTCAAATATGTGAGCGGAGAATCAACGAGTGAAAGGGGAGAGGACGAGCTTATAGACTACATGCCAACCAGTCTGGAGGATTCTCATTCAACACGGCCAATCGGGTTTACAGACACTGAGACAGAGACAAAAACCCCGCTCTAGGCAGGGTTACCCCCTGTAAAATACGATGAGATGATAAGATGAAAAGATGAAAGATTAACAATCTTTGTGATGATGTTTGCCTGGCGCGGGTATATCTTCGGTCATAGCAAATCTCCTTTTGGTTTCCTTTCTCAGCTGGAATGCACTGATTGAGTAATTTCAGCAGAAGCTGTTGAAATTATATGTATTTGACATAAGTAGCGGTTATTGAATGAATTATTTTTTTGACATGGTTTCACTTAGTTTGTAATAAGCATTTGGCCCAGTGGCAAAGGAAATGTGGATGTAACCATAGATTTATAGGCAGTGCTACAATTTAAACAATGGAACCTTACATTTAATCTTTATCTCCCTGTAAAGTAACAACCATGAGCCTATTCAAAGGTAATTAGAGCTTTTGTTAAAAGCATTTGACTAATGGCAGTTTAATCAACCCCTCACCCACGTGTCACACTGCATTTTCCTCTCAGGACATCGGTTTCAGAATTTGCAGGCTTGGAAGATGAACATTAACACTTCAGGCTGAATGTCATTCCCACAATAAAATTTTTGTATTGTGACTAATCTGCAGTATTTCAGTGAGAATTTAGAAATATATATTATAGGGTGTGAGCATTGTAGAGTAACATACACTTTAATGTGTGTATACTATAACAGTTCTTTGGTCTTTTATTAATGAAATGGATCCAAGGGGCTCACAGAGTTAATGAGATTATAATTGCTTGATAAAGCAATAATGCAAGTGCTAAAAGGTGAAGAAGATGCACATCTGTAGAGATGGGATGCACCGTGTGAGCGTCTGCTGACGGAAATATACACCTTGCCCTCTACAGTGGCAGTATTTACAAGCCTTGTAGTTTCAGTCCTTTGTCTGTGATCCTGCATACTGTATGTCACCTCTTACACACAGATACAACAAGAAGGATGAGTCTCTGTTTGTGTTCCATCTTGTTTCTGTCCCTGATGTGACGCCGTACTGTCAAATGGTCAGAAAACAAGATACGGTTGAGATTCCCACTGTGAACGAAACCAGCACCTTTGATGTCCTTCTAGGCAACAGCAGACAGCGACGATGACAATGATGCTCAAGACAGATGACTAAATCAGTGAAATGAAACGTTAAAAAAAACCCCACACAACTTCCAAAACATCTGCACCAACCATCTTCCAACTGTCCTTTTACAAGGACGCTTTGAGTAATGTGAGATATCGACTGTTAAATGGGAAGAAAACACACTTTTATTTTTAGATGAAAAAATGTACTGTAAATACTGGTTTACATTGACTGATGATTTATGACCTGCAAAAGGAGAAAATGTTTCTCTGTTTTACAGATTCAACAGTGGATGGAATGGAAAATGATGAAAGCTGTCATCATGTTTTTTGAATAAACTAACTGAGATGAATTGTTGGTTGAGTTTTTAATCGGCAGCCTTTGAAATGCATGTATTTGACAGTAAAATAACAATGGGGGGGACGGCACAACAAATGATGCTAAAAAGAGGAGACAAGACAAAGGAAGGCATAAAAGAAAGAATGGAAAAGAAACAAAAAAAAACAAGCCCCAGAATAACATAATCAGACTTCAGCCTGATATACACCGCCAAAACCTATGAATCAGCCCTTTATTTAGTCAGTCTTACAATATAACATCCAACATTTTTCCAAGATAGAGAGATATTTTAAGTTATTTAAGTTAAAGTAATTTTCAAAACTACAATTGGTTCCTCTAACCTTCTTGAAACACAGCATCTGAACAATTGGAAACAGTTTTTTGGCAAGCAGTGCTCCCATTATCAAATTGGCTACAGAACCAAACGATAGATTATCCTCTCTGTTTCGACAAATCAACCCGAGTCTCTCTTGGAAAGGAAATTGGTTTGGATATTTTGAAATAAATACACCAGACACATCCAAAAATAAATGCAACACGGTTCCATTTTTAGCTTTGAAGCTGCTAAAAAGGTTGATTTGATGGTGAAATAATGTTTAAGACTTCTAAAAAAAATGAATATGTAGCTTAAACTGTGAAATAACATTTTTATTTTCTTGCTAAACAACTTGTGGTTTTCTACCTTCATTATACATAAGCAAAGATAAAGATGCATAGAAACATTTCATTTTATTTTGTTTCACACATGGTAAAACAGTAATTCATTTCCTACACACAAACCTTTGTTTCAATTAAAATAACACTGTATCCATGCATGAAAAGATGCAGGAAGAAGAATAAATTCTTATTAACGCCTATCTATAACAGTGCAAGTAGGCACTGACAACCAAAATACACTCTGACACTATTCTACACACAACAAAACAAAACAAAACAAACAAAACAATATAATCAGCAATACCACTAGATAGCAAAGTAAAAAGGATAGTTCTTTCTATAATTAACTCCTGTTATTTTAATCTTCTTCATATTGGTTTAACATTTTATTCTTATAGCACCTTTTAAATTGATAAACATTTGTACAACCCTTAAGATGATCATGGAGAGAATTCCACATTCTTATACCTATAACAGTTGGACCTATTTGCCTTTGTGTGGTCCGAGCAAACCTTAAAATAAAACTTCCTTCTACTATCACCATTTTCTGAACACAATACAATTAATCTTTGTAACTTCAGAGGCAATGTTTTTTTTTGCCCTAAACATAATTAATAATGTCTGTAATTTCACTATATCTTCTAGTTTTAATAATTTCAATTTTATAAACAAAGTATTTGTGTGTTCTCTATATTTAACATTATGCATAATTCGTAGTGCTCTCTTCTGTAATAAGTATAATGGTTTTATATTAGTCACAAACACAAACGCTTGGTTTTAAAAGGTCACAAAACTTCCCCTCAGAATCGAAAAGTGCTTCTAGAAATTATAATTTGGCGTTATTACCTTAAATGAAGTGTGTTTATAATTTCAAGTGTGTAAAAATGTTCAAAAATATATTTTTTAAGAAAAATAAACTCAATTTCAATTACAGTTACTGAAAAGTTGTACGTGCTTCCTGAATTGTGGGTCCATCTGTGACGACTCTGACTCTGTGAATGCAAAATAGTGCTACACACGATTATTGTGTCTTGCATGCGCATTCATGCACGCACACTCACAAACACACACACACAAACACTGGCATCCAATTACTGAGAGACATGAAGTATCTCACCTGTTAATAACAGGGCACATGTATGATAAACAGAGTCGGTGAACAGTAGCTTTCTCAAGCTTGACAGGAAAAAAAAAATCTGGCGCAGATGGTTGGGTGGTGCAGTTAATTGGATGCTGTTTACTGTTAAGTGTCTTTTCTTTCTCTGTGTGGCATTTGTAGATGAATGAATTCCTTTCAGAAAGCTGCTCTTTTATGATTATTCGCTAAAATACCCCAAAGCTGACACCCTTCTACCAGATTGTTTATCGTTATCTGCTAGTGACTTTGATCAGATGGATCTTAGTCATATGACAGCACTGAAATTGAATGAAAAACACTCTGTCCTCTCTCATCAGCTATATCTGTTGACAAGCCCTTTAACGGTTGCTTGAGTGAATTTCCTCTATGGAATAAACTTAAACAGCTAGAGAATTTAATTTTTACAGGCATCCCTCAGATGTTAATACTGAAAACTAGTACAAAACACATTAGCATGAAATAGTGCATGCCTGCTCCCCAGACTTTCACTGGAAAGGTCAATAACAGTCAGCTGCTGGTTCAACTTTTCAAGAGCCTTTAAGTGCACAGACCACTCCACCTGGCCAATTTTATAAACTATTAAGTAGCCTTTTGCTCACTCAGCAGAGCAGGAGTGGGAACATAAATCACTGCCATGGTTGGAAGTCTTAATCAGGGGTCAGACTAGGCTCTGTATGAACTATTCATTAACAGCCATTAAGGAAAGCAAATTTCAGGATCAGCTGGATATTCGGTGTAGAATGGCAGCTGCCAATTGCACCCCGCAGACTTGGTTTGTCAGCTGAGTGCCCCCTCTGGCCTAACAGATCAGAGATCAACCCCAACAGTGTCTGTACCAACACGTGTCGCTGCATAAAGTCCAGTCACACATTAAATAGCGACAACAATGCTGCAGGAACCCAAATATTTCTATCCAGTAATCAACAAGAACTGTTTCTAACACAAAACAGGACTGCACTGCCCCCTTGTGGAAGAATCCGGATAACCCATGACTGAAAAGAATAATGAAACCATATGAAAGCTTTTCAGTGGTAATAACTTAATGTTATATAGTCCAATTGTGTGAAATTAGTATCTATGACTATTCCCCACATGGGTTTATCTTTTTATTGCAAAAACATGAAGCCACATAAAAACCTAATCACCTAATCAGATAGATAGATAGATAGATAGATAGATAGATAGATAGAT